GGAACCTTAAGTGCAGCAGAATTTTTTTTGTAACCTTGGCCAGATCTGTGCCTTGCCACAATTCTGTCTCTGAGTTCTTCAGGCAGTTCCTTTGACCTCATGATTCTCATTTGCTTTGACATGCACTGTGAGCTGTAGGGTCTTAGACAGGTGTGTGGCTTTCCTAATCACGTCCCATCAGTATAATCAAACACAGCTGGACTCAAATGAAGGTGTAGAACCATCTCAGGGATGATCAGAAGAAATGGACAGCACCTAAGTTAAATATATGAGTGTCACAGCAAAGGGTCTGAATACTTATGACCATGTGATATTTCAGTTTTTCTTTTTTAATAAATCTGCAAAAATGTCAAAAATTGTGTTTTTCTGTCAATATGGGGTGCTGTGTGTACATTAATGAGGAAAAAACGAACTTAAATGATTTTAGCATATAACAAAGAGTGAAAAATTTAAGAGGTCTGAATACTTTCCGTACCCACTGTATGTCTACATAGCTTAATGCAGCCTGAGCAAGTTATAGAGTTTAGTGTTCACAGCATACATGCTACATTTAAATTAACCCTATAAAACCATTTGTATCATATTTGATACGTGAGGTTTCTGAGCAAAAAATCGGCACAAATGCCCCATGTATCAAATGTGATACAAAATAAATAGAAATAATCTAAATAATATGGCACCTCTATTCCTTTATGCCTGGACTGTCTGTCTATACATATATGGCAAATAAAAATCATGAATCTTGAATTTCGAATCATGAATTATATTTTGGATTTTGTTAGAAGGTTTAATAAACATCTCAGTTCTAAAAAATTAGAATGTTCTGGCTATTTTTTGATATGTTGGGCTTTACAGGGTTAAAGTGAAGAAGCCAGGGCCAACATGAAATTTATACCCTGCATAAATCATTCCCATTCATTTCTAGCTCCGAGGTAAAAGTGCATTAGCGTTGGTACAATTTACAGTGATGCTTCGGTTGCCTGTATCATCACAGCACCAGGGGGCAAATATTTCAATTAACAGGCATTTAAGCAGCACCGACATCTGCATTGTGATTCGGTAGATACTCATTGTATAGGAACCAGTGTCATATTGACACCAAGCTTCAAGAGCCAATCCTAGGTAAGAACAGATACAGTAAATTAGAATTACTGCTTCATGGCTGTATACCACCCCAACCAGCCAAATTCATGACAAATGTGAAGATACAGTGACCTTTGACCACTAAAATCTCATCAGTTCAATCTTGAGTCAAAGTGGGCATCGGTGCCAAATTAGAAGAAATTTCCTCATGGCATTCTTGAGATACCATGTTCACAGCAACAGGATGGATGGACAAACTGGCCTTTGTACATGGCTACTGCCAGCACAGAGGCATAAAAACAGCTGGCAATTATTGGCAATCCATCACAGAAGTACTCCCTCTATATGCAACAATCAAAGTGCAGAACAGAACAGAATCAAGACCGAGTGAATGTAAAACCTACTTGAGGGCGTTCAGGAGGCCTTCCACATTGTCTGCTGGCTGGTCCTTCAGGACTTTTATGCAGCCTTTCATCTAAAATGAAATGAACAGATTCCGAGTGTAAGCACAGAAACTCCAGCGCTGCATCTCAAGACAGATCCACATACAGTATGTTATGTGGGTGTCTTACATCTATTTTGGAGGACTTGTTGAAGGCACCATTGGGGTGGACGTGGTCATAAAGAATGATGACTCCAACCATGACCCTCATGCAAAACAAAAGTGTGTCCTCACTGCTGAAGCGGCTTGAATATTCTCTAAAAACACAGAGCAAATGAATGAAAAAGAGGTTCAGAATAGGAACTCCGTCATTTTACAGAATTGCAAGTTCTTGTACTGAAAATTCAAGACTTCAACATGGCAGAGTTTAGGGAATCAAGGTCAACTGTCTTATCAAGGCTAATAGAAAGAATTTTCACACTGCTGCAGCAACATAAGTCTCTGTCACAGGTTGTGAAGTATCGCTGTGATATCAGAGAGATTTAATATCTTATCCAGTATATGCTGGAATGTGCTTTTAATCTGTGAGATCCTTCCTGACTGTGTGTCCATGTGTGGAAACTCACGGCGTCTCCAGCATGACTTTACACACACTGGCCATAGTGCTGAGACAGTCTGTCGTGTTCTCCAGCGGCAGTGTCTTGTTCTTCAGGAAACACAAACCACAAACTTAAAAAAATGGCTACTTTATTATTGATAGTCTGATAACTAGTACACAACAACCATCCTTAAAAATGACATGCATTGCCTAAAACATAATACTGTGGTGTTGTGACATGAGATGTACAGTGGTGTTTGACAGCATGAATGGTTAAAAATACCATTTATGACCATCAGTCAACACTCAATAACCCATAATGACATGGAAATGCATTCTTGGAACCTTTTGCACATTTAGAATCAGAATCAGAATCTGCTTTATTGGCCAGCTGTGTCAGACACACGAGGAATTTGACTCTGGTACAACGGCTCTCCATGTGTATGTACATATAAGAGGCAAGTAAACAGTAAACCAACATAAGGCTAGTATAACAAAAAAGGCAGTATTAATAAGAAGTAAACAATGCAGACAGGCAAAGGAATGCTCATTGTGAAATGAGATAAATAGGAATAAAAATAGAGTACTTAAAACTAGAGTCCTGGATGGATCTGTATAATCTGTACCATGTATATTTACAGGTATTGCACTGAGGGTTGTTGTCCAGTCATACTGTTGTTGGTTAAGTATTCATCAGAGCGATGGCCTGGGGGAAGAAACTGTCCCTGTGCCTGGTTGTCTTGGTGCACAGTGACCTGTAACACCGTCCAGAGGGGAGGAGTTCAAACAGATTATGTCCAGGGTGTGAGGGATCTGCAGTGATCCTCTCCGCCCTCCTTTTGACCCGTGAGGTGTACAGGTCCTCCATGGAGGGCAGGCTCACACCAATGATCTTTTCTACAGTCCTGACTGTCCACTGAAGTCTGTACTTGTCCTGTTTGGTTGCTGAGCCAAACCAGACAGTGATGGAGGTGCAGAGAACAGACTCGATGATTCCTCTGTAGAACTGTATCAGCAGCTCCTGGGGCAGGTCGAAATTTCCTGAGCTGGCGCATCCTCTGCTGTGCCTTCTTGGTGATGGTCCTGATGTTGGATGTCTACTTAAGGTCCCGGGAGATAGAGTGGAAGAGTTGCGGCTATACCATAGGACCAGCTGCTCAACCTCCCATCTGTAGGCTGACTTGTCACCGTCTCGGATGAGACCAATGACCGTTGTATCATCAGCAACTTTAGGAGCTTGACAGAGGGGTCCGTCGAGATGCAGTCGTTGGTGTAGAGTGAAAACAGCAGAGGGGAGAGCACACATCCCTGGGGGGCACCTGTGCTTACTGTCCGGGTGCTGGATGTAGTTTTCCCCAGCCTCACTTGCTGCTTCCTGTCTGTCAGAAAGCCAGTAATCCACTGACAGGTGGGGGCAGGCACAGTGAGCTGGGTCAGTTTGGAGTGGAGGATGTCTGGGATAATGGTGTTGAACGCTGAGCTGAAGTCCACAAAGAGTGCCCCTGCATAGGTCCCTTCACACAGCTCCAATGACATGTTGAAGATGAGTGTGAAGATGGGGGCCAGCTGATCAGCGCACACTTTCAGGCAGGAGGGGGGTCATGCCATCTGGGTCTGGAGCCTTTCTGATCTTTTGTCTTTTAAAGACGCCACGCACATCCTTTTCACAGATCGTTAGAGGTGGGGGGCTGGAGGGAAGGATGGTGATTGTTGGGGGAGCAGCTACTGGGTCTGAGGTGGGGAGGGTGAAGTGTTGTTTGTCAAACCTGCAGTAGAACACATTCAGGTCGTCTACTAGTTGACAGTCCTCTACAGCAAGGGGGGGTGGTTTCCTATAGCCGGTGATGTTCTTTAGGCTCCCCCACAGAGAAGAGGGGTCATTTGCTGAAACCTGAGCTTTCAGCTTTTCAGAGTAGCTCCTCTTTGCTGCTCTGATCTCCCTTGTCAGTGTGTTCCTGGCCTGGCTGTACAGAGTCTTGTCCCCACTTCTGTAGGCCTCCTCTTTGACACGACGAAGCTGCTTGAGTCTTCCTCTGAACCAGGGCTTGTTGTTGTATGTGCAGAAGGACTTTACAACTTTAATTTCTGAAGGAACTGACTGTGCAACAGATTTCCAAACTGTTGCTGTGTGTCACACTCAGAGTAACAGCAACAATAACAAGGGTGGTGGTTTTCTCACCTCTGTCACGAAGTTTGTGGTTGCATTACTGAGTGTTTTCAGCATCGGTGTGGCCTCAGCGTAGAACAGAGACATTCTGTTAGCCATCTCATTGTTAACTTCACTCTCAATATCCAACTGGAGGTGCAGAAACAGAAACAGATGAATTAGGAGGGTCAGCATAAGAGGGTTAATTATTTCCAGACTTGTTTTTCCATTTTCCAGAGTACTAGAATCTCCTTTACATCGTTTGTACAGAGGCAGAATCCCTCCAGTGCTGGAAAACTGTTCAAATAGTTGTCATTTTTCACACAGAATCTATGTGATACTTTCCTGTGTTAGGCCCATTCCTGGATTTGCACCATTCTATGACTGTTTCCTCTTTAGCTTGTGAAACCACTACAGATTCTAAATATACTGTATATCATAAAACTGCTGTGAGTCAGATATAACTATGTGGACTTGAGAACATCAGGAAAATATAATGTGGATCTAAACTGATCTTTCTATTTTCTGGGGGGTGGTCTTTGTATGTGGCTAGCTGGATAACTTTGCTGACAGTTTTACATTGCTATGTTGCATGGCAACACATGAGTAATCTTAAACCTAATGGGGTACAGGTTAGTTCTCAGGCTTACTCAATATAAACAAGATAACTTCACTGATTTAAAGGGTATCCCCCCAGAGTGATTATAATAAGTTTAAAGAAAGCTAATTAGTTTAAAGAAAACAGATGGTACTGAGAGACCAACTGAACCCTTTGGCCCGACTCGATCTGTTCTTAATCAGATGGTACTGTTTATTCATATTGAAACTGGGAAAATGTACATGCATAGAGTAAAGGGATGGGAATCCTTTCTAAGAAACAGTTGAGGACTTGACATAACTGTATGAACTAATGTCATGTGATGTGAACAGTGAGACAGTTTAACTGAGAAGAAACTGATCTATTTTGATCAATATTCAAACTGGAGGCAACAGTACTTAATCATTTGCTAAAAAGTGTTAATTATTTGTAAGAAAAGACAGAGAAGTGTCTTTATTATTTACTATTAACAGTAACAGAACTTTGAGTAGTAGGTTACATTACAGTGACACCAGTTGGCAAAATATTCTTGTACTTTACTTACCTATAATGCAGAGATTATATGGTATGGAGTAATAAAAATTCAAGCGCACACATACAGTGGGTACGGAAAGTATTCAGACCCCCTTAAATTTTTCACTCTTTGTTATATTGCAGCCATATGCTAAAATCATTTAAGTTCATTTTCTTCCTCATTAATGTACACACAGCACCCCATATTGACAGAAAAACACAGAATTTTTGACATTTTTGCAGATTTATTAAAGAAAAACTGAAATATCACATGGTCATAAGTATTCAGACCCTTTGCTCAGTATTTAGTAGAAGACGCGCAGTATTGGAGGTGGAAGATGCCTGGACGGGTACTGTTAATTTTACCTGTGATTCTTTGAATAAACCAGCACGGTTATTTTTTATATATCTAAGTGGTTTGCATCGTCTCTCTGAGTTCCTGGTTAAAAGGACTGGGTAATATCTTTCACACCCTTTTGAGCTAATACAGCCATGAGTCTTTTTGGGAATGATGCAACAAGTTTTTCACACCTGCATTTGGGGATCCTCTGCCATTCCTCCTTGCAGATCCTCTCCAGTTCTGTCAGGTTGGATGGTAAACGTTGATGGACAGCCATTTTCAGGTCTCTCCAGAGATGCTCAGTTGGGTTTAAGTCAGGGCTCTGGCTGGGCCATTCAAGAACAGTCACGGAGTTGTTGTGAAGCCACTCCTTCGTTATTTTAGCTGTGTGCTTAGGGTCATTGTCTTGTTGGAAGGTGAACCTTCAGCCCAGTCTGAGGTCCTGAGCACTCTGGAGAAGGTTTTCGTCCAGGATATCCCTGTACTTGGCCGCATTCATCCTTCCCTCGATT